AATCAAAACACGTTTTTTTCTAAACCGAAATGTTTCTATTAAGCAAATTTATTCTCGAAACACTAAATTGTGCAATTATATGTTCAATGGAAATGCAGCTACTGTTCCACATCATTTAGCATCCTGCCATAAATTCTGAATTCGAGTCCTGTGACGTTTTTGATGTGCTAACCCTCAGCTTAATGCCTATGCACTACCGATCAGTAGGGAGACGTTCACAATGTTCCGCTCCGATATCATCGGGTATGTTAATTTTCCGAGTCAGTCTCATGCTGTGAGTTTCTTCACGTTAAAAACAAACCTACTGCCCAGCAAGAGATTTGCTGCAAGTTTCACTTTCACTTTAAGAAGCTGCCCCTCCGTAACAGCATGGGGTTGTGTAACGTAACAAACGTCTGGCTCTTACTGAACAGTTTCCAGCTTTATTTATTTTTTACTTCATGGATGCCAAGCGTGTTGTCAGGTTGATTCAGCCGCATTGTACAAGAACATCTAGGACTAAAGCCAGGATTTTTAAAAATTTTTTTTAGTTATAGTCAATGTACTCAGAGCTCCAATTCCTCAGAAACTTACGTTTTTCATTCATACTTGTAGGTTAAAAATACCTAATTAAATTCTCTATAAGCTGCACAAGTTTTTACTGAAACATCCCAGTGGTTTGCTTTATTTAGAAAAAACAAAAACAAAAAAAAGACAAAATACGGGCCACGCAATCGCCTGGCATTGCGCACAACCCTGCCAGTAAATTGTGCTGGTAAATATTTATGTCGTTTTTATCTTTTGTTTATCCCCTTCTGCTGCCGACTTGAGATACGTTCCTTTCCCATTGTGTACAGTTTGTTGGGAGAGTGTACACTGCACACATGGCCGAGCTCCACCCTTAACTCTGTTCCACCAATGGGCTCATGACAGGACTTTGCTATGCGTCCAGTTATTTTCGTACACCCTTCCCAGGAACTCTGTAATTAGTTGCCTTGTTGCTGTGTTCACTTGTGACTTTGATGAGGAGACATCAAAGTCACAAGTTTCAAAAGTGTCAAATTTGTTGTCAAATTGTTAGCAAACATGAGGTTTGCACAATAAAGCTGAGAGACTGAACAGTGAGCCTCTGCTGCATGTGTGAGCGTGATGTCCTTCAGACGCCGCTTACTGGAAGATGAAGATTTTATTATGCAATGTTGTGTTTGGGTCCTTGATGTGGCACTCTCGTTGCTTTGATTCTGTAATTATGTAGTTTGCATCAAACGTGTGAGCTGTGGTGCAACCTTGGTGACATTTCAACCCCCTTGGACCCGTTTAACCCACTGATCAAACTCTGTGTGCGGAGGAAGGAGATGCACGATTGCTGCGCTTTAATGTTTGCAAATGCCATGGAAACGAAAGGGCGATACACAATAGAGTCACAGGACTACAACACTGGCGGTCTAACCTGTAGGTATCAGCTGGCTAATTAGCTGTAGCAGTTAGCCTGCAGTCAGCAGCTGAACAGATGCACCTCTCACATCTTGTCACATTAGAAAATATTTATCAAAAACAAAACAACAGGTCAACGTTTAGAAACTTAACAAATTACACTCGACATTGTTAATAGCAGCGTCCTTAAGGTGACTTTAATGTCTTTCTTCTAACGGAGATCAAACATTGATTTCTGTAATCCAGCAGTGTGCTCCGACTGGTGGGTGAATGGCAATGTATGTACCGGTATATTTATTAAAATAAACAAAATGCTAACAGTTTGTAATACTGTTGATAAAAAAATCCAAAGCACAGAATTGCAGTGTGTCTAGTGATGCATAAGAATATCTTCTTTTTGGTTGACAATTTAAATACTATTGAAAGAATTTTTTTTGAGAAAAAAAACACTACAAGTTAATTTTATGTCCTTCCTAAGTAATCAATTGTATTTTAAAGAAAATAGCTTTAGCTCAGTTGTAGTCTAAAGCTTGATGTTCAAATATTTTCTATGTTGTTGTCGTTTGTCAAAGCACACATTTCCATTTCGAGCTAAAAGCAGCGAGAGAATTGCAGCATTATTTTTATTGTTTGAGCCAATTTTATATATTTTTGTGTCTTTAGCAAACGCGCAACAAGCAAGAGACCGTACTCTGTCTCGGCTTCAGCGGCAAATCAAGTTTCCCTCCTCCGTCTCCCGGCCGTCGGAAGCGCTCTCATTCGGAGCAGAAAACAGAAACTCAGCCTTGTGATGATGGGAAGAAGCCGAGATGAGGCAAGAAAAAGAAAGGGAGAGTAAAAATGGGAACTGATACAGATCAATCCTGCTGACAAAGGACATTAAAAATCAAAGTAATCGTTTGCTGAGAGTTACACTACGGTTTATTAAAAAAACCAAAATGCTTCTGCGTTTTTGTTTTCCTTGAAAAGAGATAGAAACTTAATGTGATGGAAGTGTTATCAAGCAGCAGCAAAGTGTCTATTTAAAGCAGGGGTTATACATTCTCACTATATGACCTACGTTGGGAAAAAAAAAACGGCAACAAATGCGCTATAAATAGTTTTACAACATAAGCTAAAGAGGGTTCCGCGGGTATTTAATCGGCGTCGTACGTTGTTACATATCATAAAACTGTGAAAGCCACTGCACTGCAAAGATTGGGAAACCCTGAGCAATTTCTTCAAAATCATAGCAGGGGAAAAAAAAAGATCTTCATTCGGGAAATTAAGCAATCAAAGTCTGTGAATAATCACACAGAAAGTTAACCAATGAGGAGAGACAACTTCAGTTCAGGAGAACATTGTTATAGGTTTGAGGTAATCTGGCTAGCCTGATGACGGTTTTTATCCCTGACAAGAGATGTGAAATCATCATGGATACCTTTTGTGTTTTTTAAGAATCTTAAGAAGGTACGCGCTTTTGAAAGTTTTAAATTATGGGGTTTTTTTTCCCCTTCAGTCCTGAGTTTTTGTCCAGTTGTCAGTGGAAGTGCTAATGGTGCATTCAGGTACAGGCCAACTGGAAAACAACCAATCCCTGCTGCTAGGTACGAAGGAGGACGCATGATGCTGTGGGCCCCATTCTCTTCCAAAGGTCCTGGAAACCCTCGTCACGGCCTCTTTACAATACCAGGGGATTACTAACAATCTGAATTTGGCCAAATAAACACAGAAATGACTCAACAAACATCCAAAATAAATAGTTCAAGCACACCAATCTTGTCATCGACTAGAGGCTTTTAAGACATGAACTGCAGGCCACAACGCTTTTGCACGAAAGACGATACAAGTCGTTCATGTGTTTGGATGGGGGAAGATGCAAGTGTCCATGTTTATCACTACAGCTGTCAAAACTGCAGCAACCTACTGCAGTGGCCTCTCGTTTTTTAAATTTATCTATAACCACAACAATGTTTAGGTTTTCTGTGACAAAACTAATGCAAAGTTTTAAAAAAACTAATAGCATTAATTTAACTTTCTCTACAAGGATAGATAGATAGATAGATAGATAGATAGATAGATAGATAGATAGATAGATAGATAGATAGATAGATAGATAGATAGATAGATAGATAGATAGATGCCACATCAACTCAATGAGGGAATGTGTTGGGACAATATGGTTTACTGGCTCTTACACACTGAAGTTTTGTCAGACCTTTTTTAGAGCTTGCACGAAGAGGCCTCTCCACTTGTGACTGTTCTCTTCACTCGAAAAGTCGTACATCTGCTGGGGCTGCATCGCTGTAGCGGCTCCTGGCGTTGCCGTGATCCGGGCTGAACTGTCAGCATCGGCCCCGAATAGATAGTCCTTATGGGTGGGTCGGTCCGGAGCGGGCACGGGGGTTGTTGGGGAAACGGGAGTTGGGGGAGGTGGGAGAGGGGGGGAAGAAAAAGTCACCGTGTTGTGTAAAAATATGCAGAATAAAGCTCAACCACCACACTGCGAGTCCCACGTCGAGTCCGGGTTGACGACGAGAAGCTCGCGACCAAAAAAGCACATGTAGCCGTGAAGTTAACGCGCTAGCTCGGCGGCTAATGATAGCTGTAAACACAGAGCTCGGCTAACTGGCGAGCTAACAGCTAATAACAATGTTGCGGAGCGCCGTGCCAGTTCGTTTGGTTCCAGAAATGTGTAGCAGGCACGTTTCGCTCAAAGTCGCAGCAAAAAGCAGGACCCCCGTCTGCTACCTGCTGCGAGCTGCGCTCGAATATCTGCTACCTAAAACACCTGTAACCTTTGCGAGCTAACCAGCTAGCTGGTGCTACAGGCAGCTGCTGGCCTCGATGCGCCTCCACTCCTATGTTGTGGCACACAAGCCCTTCTGCTCCAAACAAGGCACACTTTTTTCTTCGCGGCTCATTTCACAATTAGTCATCTTTTCCGCAACTACCAGATGTTATATCCGGCGTATATTCCTTTGAAGAAACAGTGGGAAGTCCAAGGCATTTTGGTGGGTGAAGAGCAGCTATAAAAAGAAGTCGGAGGTTTTTTTTTTTGGTTAGAGAAGTCGGAATCGCTCGCTACAACTCCGCTACCGCCGCTGCTTGTTTGCTGCCGCTGCTGCAGCTGCGCGACCTAACCGTCCCGCAAGACACGCACGCTGCGCAATTCCACACGCAGCCAGACAGAAACACCTGGATACGAATCACGTATCCACACGAAAACTGATACAAAAAAAAAATTTCAAAATATAAAAAGAACATGTCTTTTTTTTCTTTCTTTTTTTGTTTTAAAAACATGGCCAAATATATACCCAGTAAATAAGAAACTGAATTGTTAAAAATAAGATTTATTGGGGAACCGTGACGCAAAGTTTCTTGGTGAAAACGCCGCTGCTTGCAGAGAGAAAAGCTCATCTCCACATATTTTCTGCCAACACTAAGGTCCACTGACTGAGCTTATTGTTATTGCGCCCTCTTGTGGAGAAACTGTATTTCTACATCGCTCGAGAAGAGCTGGGATGAATGGACAATTTTTTTTAAACTATTTTAAAGCATTGACACAGACGTTCCATGTAACTCATAATCCACAGAACAACACCCCATTGTCGTTATTTTGCTTTTATTTGTTGTATAATGATTTATTGAACCATAGTAAAATCTGCCCTTTCAGAAAACAACCACACACACATATATGCATGCCTTCTGGTGACAGCACACAAGGCTCGGTTCATTTGCAGTTTTTCCTCTGCTAATCAGTTCATTCTGGTATTACTAAATCAAATTTCACTTTCAAAAGCCATTTCCTTGTGTTCGCATGACTGGAGCGAAACCAAAACCGTCGTGTCAGAAGACTCTGCAGGTAAACATGGCAACAATTAATCAGATGGAAGAGGTTTGTGACAACAACCAGGACAGACTTGCTGGAAGAATGGCCAGGTTTAATTATCAAAAAATAAAAAATAAAAAAAACTTTGGTGATTGCTGCAATAAATCCCATACGGTCAGGTAAAAGGTTGACAGGATGGGATGATTTACAAGTTCCCACATGGTTTCCTGCAGAGCTGCTGCATCACCTGAGGCTTCCTCTGACTTTTAACGACTCCCGAAAAGTCAACTAGGCCTAAGGGATGATTGCCGTCATCATTCCAGTCAATGCCAGAAAAAAAAAAGCAAGAAAAACAAACAAACAAACAAACCCCCCCCCACATTGCCTACTAGTCAGAAACAGAGTTCAGTAAGATAAAGTAGTGAGTTCAGACTAAAAAAAAATCATTAAAAAGGCAATACAAGCAGAATACTGCACTTATTTTAAAATGGGTGCATTTGTACATTAACAAATCAGACAGAAAGAAAATCTACATTAAACTAAATCTTCTGTCAAAATGCTAACTGATTACCTAGTTTCTTGTAATCTCATCAACTGCAAAAAAAATACAGAATTAGTATTTTCTTCAGTCCACCTATTAGAAACTTTGCATTAAGTGAAACTTTTGAGGATATTTCTTTTGAGCTTTGTATATTTTATCAGTGCCATGTTTTCACCATGTCAACGATGCCACACTTTAAAAAGGTGAAAACATTCATGCACATTCTATCAAATATATATTTCCTGTAAAAAAAAAAAATACGTATTCAGAAAGAGCAATTTACAGATTTGGTATCAAATCGAATCCAAAAACCAACTTAAAGCATAGAAGAAGAAAAAAATCCTTTTCCCACAGATTGTGCATTTTTGTGCAGACAAATGTATTTCCGGAGATGAATAATTATTCAAACGTACCCAACAGCTTAAAAAAAAAAAGAATCTCAGCATCACAAGTCAACTAGCAGAAATATCCACATTCTGTTTAATACCTGCGAGGTAAGACCCTAAAGAAATTCATTTAAGTTCAAAAATTATTTCTAATTTCATGTCCCCAGAAGGTCGTGCAGAGGGTAAAGATGAGTTTCTACACGGATGTGAAAGAGTAAACATGTTTGTAGTTCGTTTCAGCACTTCAGTGATAAAAGTCTTTAAAAAGACGTTTTAAAGAGTCAAACGAACGGCCTGGCTTTAACTCGGGAGGCTCAGGAAGTTTCAATCTGTGGCTGGATTTCTGCATCCCTCTCCAGCGTTTCGTCACGCCCGTCGCTACAGCGTGAAGCGACTCTCCACCTCATCCGCAATCATCTCGGCGATGGCGAGGGACGAGGTGGCTGCCGGGGAGGGGGCGTTGCGCACGTGGAGCACCCGACTGCCCAAATCCCCGACGCCGCCGTCGAAGACAAAGTCGTCCACAAGGTTCCCGTCCCGGTCGAGGGCCTGAGCTCGGACTCCAGTTGGACCTCTAGACAGGATCAGTGGGGTTAGCGCAACATAAGATACAAAAAATAATAATAAATTATGAAAATACAACAAGCATATAATGTAAAAATTTCCACTACCTGAGCACGTCGCTTAGAGAGAGTTCGGGGATGTACTTCTGCAGAATTTTAATCTGCGCACCGAGGAAAACTCCTCTGTACATTTCCCCGATGCCATAAGTGACATTCCTCAGCACGAGCTTCTGAAGGCCTCTGGACGCCCAAAACGAACCAAGTCAGAAATATCAGTAGTAGCTGCTGCAAACCTCCAAGAAAAGCTCGACGGATTACCTAAAGGAGAGTGCGTCTGCAAAGTCCCGGGCATCGAAGTCGTACAGCCGGTAGCCCTCCCTTTTAAAAGCGAGCACTGCGTTGGGGCCGAGCCAAACGCCGCCGTCCATCCGCGGTGTGAAGTGAACCCCGAGGAACGGGAAACGAGGGTCGGGAACCTGAATGAGACGCGAGTGAGTTCAAGGTAAAACATCCCCAACAGACTGAAAAAGTGAACTTTTAAAGTACAACAGCTTTGTAAACTATTTAATCTGTTTAGTCCCACGTTTTAAGTAATGATTATTTCAACATTTTATTGTTATTTGTATTTTTACTGCTTGGGATTTTTCTTAAAAATAGGAATCTTAAATTAGAATTTAAGTTTCGCTCAAAGTTTCTAAAAACAGGACTCAGTTGATGCACTTCTCTCATTTATAAACATACTAGTACATTGGAAAAAAAAAGAAAAGGATGTTGTGTAAAAGTGGATTAAACAATATTGCACTTTTACACAATAAAGAGTTTCTGAGTTCCTCAGAAAGGGAAACTCATTAGACACATTAGAATCATCTTAGCCTTTGCTTCTTGTAATTTTGATGTTTACGGCTCGTAGGCGTCGAAAACCCAAGATTCAGTGTCTCTCTCAGAAAATGATAAAACTGTAATAAACCTCATTGCTGCACAGAGTTCTGTATCCAAGCACATCAAGGGGAAAATTGAGAGGAAGGAGAAACTGTGGCAAGAGAAGGCAGCATCAAGGAGAACTGCAGCCTTCAGAGGATTATCAGGAGAAATCCACACAGACAAATAGCAGACAAGACAAATGTTATTTATTCCCCCTAGACCCTGGTTGCTGTAGTACCAACAACCCCGGCCACCGAACAGCTCCCTTTAGCAGACTCACAGGGTAGATGTTTCCTCTGACCAGGTAGTGCTTCTCTGGTTTCAGCACCAGGTAATCTCCTCTGAAGGGGACGATCCTCGGCTCCGTGCTGCATCCAGAAATCTGCGACAGCCGGTCCGAGTAGAGGCCTCCGCAGGTCAGGACGTAACGGCACCGCACTTCGTCGCCCTGTCACAAGGGATGCGGTGAAAAAACCACAAAACAAACAAAAACTAAGGAGCAGCAGAATGAAATTAAAATGTTTGGAAGCTTTTCCAGGTCCGACCTTTTTATCTCTTATTGCAATGGGATGTTTTATTCCTGACAAGAGAAAAAGATGAAAATACAAACATTGGTTTGTTTGTTTTTTTGTTTGTTTTTTTTTTTAAGAAAGTTTTTTTTTTCTGCTCCTTACCGTCGGGGCTCCAGGCTGGGCTCTCTTTGACCAGGGACATGTCACTGACCTCGAATTCAGTAACCACAGCGCCGCCTGCCTCCTCAAAGTCTCTGCCGTAACTGAGGGCCACCATCCGCCAGTCAACGATGCCGGTGGAGGGTGAATCCAAAGCCATTATCCCCTGAAGAAGTGGCATTATGAAGTTAGCCTCTTCCTTTATGTGTTTTCCTAAATTTAAAGGCGCTATTAAGCTCCCTTGAACGTGTTAGGATGTGTCTATGGCCTACAAGAATTCTTTACATCAGGGTTGGTTTTTGCTTTGTTTTTTGAAAAATAAGATCTTAGTCTGGTCGGTTCTTTCAGAGTTAGCTTCTTTTAGGGGCTCCTGTCACTTTAAATCCAAATAATCTGCTGCTGGCCATGCCCCCGACTCAATGTTTACACTCACATCTGAAAATGGCTGCCAACAAATGCACTATCATACAACCCTACATCTTTGAAAAACAGAAGTGGAGCCTCCTACACAACCTACAAGAATGCTGCAAGTGTTTTCCATCCAGTCAGTCGGGAGCCCTGACTTGTCTATTCCAGCAGCCATTGCACAGCAGTAAAACCAGCTGGAGCTCAGCATGGGTTGCAAGGTAAGGTGCAGTGTCTGCTGATTTCTGATTACACGTTCCAGAGGTTTTGAAACGGCTCATTTTTCAGACACCAAAAAACACCCCATAAACGTATCGCTAAAAACATTTGGGTGTTTTTTTGTTGTCGTTTCTTTAAGCACTTGTTCTGTTTTTAGAAGCAGTAGAAACCCAGACGGAAGTACAAAAAGTGAAACAAGTTCATTTTGTATAAATTCACGTTGATGTAAAACAACAACAAAACTCAAACATTTTTACCCGGCAGTACGGCTCTCGCTCTCGGATCCCCTTGGCGTCCACAACGCTGAGGTCGCGCACTTTGTTCTCCAAACCGCGTTCGTACAGAGCTTTCAGTCTGGGAATTTCTTCCTGCTCTACCGCCACGATTAGCTGCCGAGAGGGGGAAACGTTGGGTTAGTTAAACGCTCAACAAGTAAGATCTACAGAAGGTTACATCTACTCATCAGCTGCATAACTAAAATTAATTTTGGAATCTTGACGCCCATGAAAAGTGTTTTATTGAGCGGGGTGATAAATGGTAAAGAGTTGGGTGCACAAGTTTAGTGTCCATCATTACAGGGTCAAAATTGCACATAAAGACTCAAATACATACATATACTCCAGCCTGTGTGTGTCATTTTGACCATGTGGAGATTGGGGCAAAACTCACAATAAATGGAATTGAAATTTGAGCATCCAAATCTTTTGCTTGTTTTTTCTTTTTCTTTAAATCCTGAAGACGGATGATCACCTACCAAAAGACCCCACGTGGTTAAAAATGATTCTTAAAAAGATGTGTAGTCATGTTCCTGCCATACATGTTTAGCGACAGACATCATCGAAAACAAACAGGTCAATATATAACCCACCTTGCCACATCGTTTATAAGGAATCCCTTTCTTCTCGCAGTACTGGTACGCCAACGTTGCTCCTCGTACACACAGCCGAGCCTTCAGCGAGCCCGGCGTGTAGTAGATCCCGCTGTGGATGACTCCACTGTTGTGCCCACTCTGGTGCACAGCTGGCAGGACGAGGAAATCGACAGATATTATTCACGGAGGCACAAATATCAATCGGTTTTATGCGTTTCTTTGCCTCCGCCTTGCAGAATGTATTGTGGCTTTGAAGAAGAACTGAAATTATTGCGTATTTTCAGTTTTTAAATAATAATAACAATAATAAATAAATTAAAAAAAAACATTAGAAACCCAGCCTACCAAGTTCTTTCTCTTTCTCCAGCAGGACGAAGGTGAGCGTCGGATGTCTTTGAATCAGCTCTCTGGCTGAGGCCAGGCCCACAATGCCAGCACCGACAACGGCCACATCGTATGTGCTGAAAAACACAGGCAGCTGTTCAAACTCCGACTGGACCTTAACTGGGTCACAGGAGGAAATACAAAGCAGAGCCTAATATTTGACTCAGTGTTTCAAAGTCTAACTGTGCTTGGCTTTATGACCGAGAGACCTTTGAAGCGTCGAGGAAGGTCTTTAGTGCCGACAAGACGGGAGAGAAAACTTACTCCTGGCTGCCAAAGACCACCATACAACCGTACATCTTTGAAAAGCAGAAGTGGAGCCTCCTACACAAGCTACAAGAATGTTCACCGTACGGCAGCAAAGCCACACTGAACATCCAGCCAGAGCCAATATGGTTTATTATTAATAATATGATTGAACGGCCCAGTCAAAGCCCAAATCAAATTGAGGACCATGGGAAGGATGCCAATGATGCCCACCATTCAATCGGAGAGAGCCTGGGCGATCTTGGAAGAGCATGTGAAAGGATTTCCAGGATAGCGGACAGTTTTCACAACAGTGAATACGTGGAAGGTTGTTGCTTACACTGGGAAGAAGTTCAGCATTTTTTTGGCAGGACTCATTTAAAAGCGGCATAGCCGGGTGAATGCACATAAAAAAAAGACAGCATGATCACTCATTAACTCTTTAACTAACAAACTAAACAGTGACAACGTTTCAAGTGAATTTCGCAACATATGTGTGTCTAGAGAAACAGTTTGAATGTTATCTGTGATGTAACCTGACCTCCCTTCAGGAAGTTGATTTATGATTTGCTTTTAGATGTGATGTTTACATTCACGTCATGCCAGTCAGGGAAAGCTTCATCACAGCAGCTGAGGAACATCTGGACTTTTTGGTGGAATATAGTTTGCACACAGCTTTTATATGCATACAAGTAAAAGTTTAAAGATATAATGTCCGGATCAAACAGGCTCACAGGTTTTTGGTTTAAACAAGTGTGTACAAAACTTTACACAGAAAAAGAAACCTAGAAATCTTTCAGGACCCTCCTCTCTGTCAGTCGTACCTGTGGAGCTGTCTGCTCGCGATGCCCTTCAGCAGCTGCGGCTGCACCGCACAAACTGCACGTAAAACCCCGCCGCTGCGCGCTCTCACCATCGCTGCTGCTTTGACAGGAAGCTCACAGTTGTTCCTTCATGGCGCGGCGGACAGACAGACTTTCTGAAATCTGTGTCTCTGCGTTGCTCTTTTGTTTTCGCAGCTAGCCATTTACGTCGCGGCTGTGTGCCATCGTTAACCCCCCAAGACGTAGCCACGCCTCCGGCGGGGCTCGTCCGCGAGACGACTGACGTAGAGACGTCCAGCCAATAGGAGGGCACGTTTTTTTTGTTCCAGCTTGAGGTCAAGAGTTACAAAAATGGAGGCGTTCGAAACGTAAACAGCAGTTTGTTCTTGGAGGACAGGTGAGAGATTTACAGTTTCTCCTCCTTGTGCCGCTGTTATTTTAACCTAATAATTGTTGAACCTTGTGTTTGATGTGCAGATTAAAGATGGGGCTGTTGTCGCGGACAGTGGAGTCTGTGTTAAAGCAGAGAGAGGGGAGCCGCAGACACTTCTGGGGTTGGCTCAATGCTGTGTTTAACAGGTGATTTTAATACAAAGAGCTCGAGTAGACAACGCTGTTATCCTAATGCAATGCGAAAACATCCAGAGGCTATTTTTACCTCAAATATTCGCACATGCCACTTTTTGTTGCAGCTTTCAACAGTGGATTTAAGTGATTATTTTAATTACATAATTAATTAAATCGGTCATATATATATATATATATATATATATATATATATATATATATATATATATATATATATATATATATATATATTTTTACTCCTTTACTGTATGTGTGGTGGCAAGATAAGCATAGTAGTGCCAAGTTATTTTTGCTAATAAGTAAATCCTTTTTTTTTTTAAATATATCCTTAAAATTATTTCCATTAAAATTTAGATTTTTCAAAAACTAATCGTGAGACGATAGGAAAATGATCGTCATGATTTTTATTACGATTCGGCCTTTTTGTATGGAATGTACTGAAACAATGAAGCTGTTCCACTTAGTGCACTATTACAGCTGCTATGCATACCGATAGATGTAATATGGTGAATAAGTTAAGAACCGACATGTTTTAGAGGTGCATGAAAAGAGACCGCCATTTTTATAATTTTTATTTATTGCTACTATTTGAAGTTGTTTGGTGGTCTTTAGTGCTTCTGATGTCTTTTTTTTTTTCTTGGACACTGGCTGCATTTTTGATTTCATCTTAAATCCTAAATAATTTTAGAAATCAAGTTAGCTCCTTTTTAAAAAAAAAAAATTAAACAGCCTGTTCTTGCTGGAACCTCAGTTGTCTCCCCAAAACATGTCTGATTTGATGCGATCTGAATGTGTCACACGTTGGCTCTTTGTTCATTCCTGTCCAGGGTGGACCATGAGCGGATCAAAGCCATCGGTCCGGACCGAGCAGCAGCAGAGTGGCTGCTGAGATGTGGTGCCAAAGTGCGGTTCGAAGGTTTCGACCGCTGGCATCACGACTACAACGGACTCCCAACGGGGCCCCTCGGCAGATACAAGATCCAGGCAATCGACGCTACAGAATCCTGCATCATGTGCAAAGGGTTCGACTACCTGGGTCGGTCCAGAGAGCGATCCGCTCCGTCTCCTCCCAGCTCATCCGTTACTCAATTCAATTTCCTTCAAAAGCTTTTTGCTCTGCATGCTTTGTGCAGCAGAAAGGCAACACTGTCAGTAGCTGTACTTAATAACTGTTGTGCACTTTTGTCACACCAGTCTTTTCTTTTCGCTTAGATGGCTTGAAATATGTGGAGGAAATTAAATTCAACAAGTGTATCTACATTGAGGACGTCTGCCTGGAACGGCTGAGTTCGATAGAGAACCTGCAGGCCAGTCTCTACATGATGGAGGTGGTGTCATGCGGAAACGTGACCGACAAGGGCCTCGTTGCTCTCCACAGACTCAGGTTAGTGGCTCATGAGGTAATTTTTTTTTTAAATGCTAAAACCACTTGCAAAGATTTATTTTTTTTTAATTAATTTTTTATTAATTTGCTAAATAAAAGCAGTAACACAGAAGTAATTGAGGCCCTCTTCCTTCCCTTTAGGAACTTGGAGTACCTGTTTCTGAGTGATCTTCCAGGAATCAAAGACAGGCACGCCACGGTCCAGAGGCTCCAGAAGGCGCTTCCGCGTCTGGACGTAGCGCTGGACCTGGACTGATTCCAGAGCAGTTCAGGCACTCCTCACCCATTATATCCAAGTTTATTCAAAGTTAATCAGTTTGTGCTTGTGAAAACTTTTAGGACTTTGTCATTTTTAATATCTTATTTAGAATACTTTGGCATTTTGCTGATTCAGAGAATGAGAACCAATGAACCAGGTATGGTTTCAGCTGTGTGTCAATAAATATTGTTTGTAGAACTGATTAAGGTTTTTTTTTCTCCCCTTCATCATAACTTACTAAAAAATTTAAAAAAAATCATGCTACCAAAAACTCACTTTAAGACTGTCCATTGTATTAAAAAAAAAAAAAAACATTTTGGCAAACTGGGCAAGGCAGTAGAGGGTAGTTTAACCCTCAGTCAGCTAACAAGCAGAGCAGCGCGGCACTCCCCTTTGTCTAAAAATATCAGCTGAAAAGTCTGGCAAAGCAAACATGAACCAACACATCCGGCTGGACGCGCTGGGCACAGTGCATAGAATCAGTAAGAGACAGGCGGCACGCCTTGTGAGGAGCAAATATGGTTAAAATGTTGCTGAATCAGTTGTTTGTTTTTTTATGGAAGGAAACTACAGTCTTTAAGATGCTGCTTCATTTCCTGAGCGGTTCAGAAAACGCAGGCGTCCGGCTTCGCTTCGCTTCGGATCAGGATCAGGATCGTCGTGTTCAGATGTTTGGGAGGTGGTAGTTGAATTTGCGCAGGTTGTTGTAGTATTTCTTATTGTCCGGAGCGGGAAAGATGCTGCTGCTGGTCAGCTGTGGCAAATACTGGAAAGAAAATAGATTTTAGAAGTAATTAATGATTTAAAAAAAGAATAAAAACCTTTCCATTTTTTGTCAAATTATGGGCAAAAATGTTAATTTTTATTCATTCATTTATTTTAGCATTTTAAGTGCTCAACCAGTTTCATTTATAACATCAGCATATTTGGTCAGTTTTTTGTTTTGTTTTTTTTGCCAAACAGAAAACTTAACATGCAATAAATATAAAAATGGCTAAAAGTGGCCTGATGGTCAATATTTGAAACTGTTAAAAATCATAATAATAAAATAAAAGCAGACTTAAATAAAGTATCTTCATTAGGAAAAGATTAGAAAACAACGCTAAATCCAATTTTGGAAATGTTGGTGCTGTGTGTGTGAAGTTTTTTTATTTAGAGTTGTGGAATCACATTTTAGTGCCAATAAAGCTGCAAATATTGGAAAATCTGCGCCAATTTTGCGCATCTAGAGATGGGATAAAAAAAACTAGCAATCTTCATGTCGGGTTGTAGATGCGTTCCCTTAACTGTTCCTGCTGAAGACAAAACACCCCCACAGCATGACACTGCCACCTCTGTGTGTTCATCATGTCACAAAATGTTAGTTAAAACTTTTAAAGGTTGCAAGTATTTTTGCACAGATTAACTTTTTAAGCTTCTCTATGAAAAAAGGAAACAGTTTGCAGTTCTTCAGAACTGCAAACTGTTTATGCAAAAAAGAAAAAGAAAAAAAACCTGATAAAATGTCCAGACAGAACGCATGAGAGCATTTCCCCATTATTTCTCACAGTAACGGGTGTGAATCTCATCCGTGCTGCTCACCCCGGGGGGCAGGTGTCTCCGAGGCAAACGCGTCCTCTTGTGCTCTCGAGTCGTGCTCTCGCTTCGTTCCCTCATGCAGTCGAAGTATGGATGCCGCAGCAGCTGCTCACAGGTCAGCCGCTCAGACGGATCCATTCTCAAGCAGCTCTGCGGGGTTAACACGCGAAAAAAAAAAAAAAAAAAAGTGACGCTATCGGGGAGCGGTTTCCACAACAGGAAGTGACATGAGGTCTCAAGAGAGACGTTCTTACCTTCATGAGGCTCAGAGTTTGATGCGAGAGATTTGGATACTTTTGCTCCAGAGGTTCCTAAAAAATCCGGCACAGCGGTGCAAATCGGGGAGATTCACATCTGATTAGTCCTGGATAAACATTTTAAAAACGAAAGGAACATGCGATGCAGGGAGATCGAACCCTCACCATCTCTGGAGGCTCCGGGATGGAAACGCCACAGAAGAACTGGTTGCTGCTGAAAACCTGCTGATGCCGAGGGGTCAGATTTCCTGCGGGAAGAAAGAAAGTTCTCAGGACAAATATTACAAGTCGTTCATCCTATTAATGCAAAAAATTATAATAAAATGAAGTGTTTTTGCGCAAAAAAGGGAGGGAAAAGTGGATTTATTGCACATTTTTGACATTCTTGCAATATTCACCAATCAAAATTTGCAATTTAAAAGCCCATTGCCATCAGGAGAAGAAAAGTTCAATCATCCAACTGCTGCCTTCTCAGATTCTCAAATCAAATCATGTTTTTACAAAATAAAATAAAAAAAATTAAACCAAAAATCTATTCAGAGGGTTGTGAACGTTTATTTGAAGCTGACGTTCCCCTGTTGGGTTCAGGCCGGCGGCGGTCGGGTCTCACCCAGAGTCCTCCGGATCAGGTACAGCTGGTCCATGTCAGACTTGCCGGGCCACAGAGGAATCCCCGAGAGCAGCTCGGCAAACACACAGCCGACGGCCCACACGTCCACCGGGGGACCGTACTGCGTGTCCCCCACCAGCAGCTCCGGGGCCCGGTACCAGCGGGTCGCCACGTAGTCTGTGTAGTAGTCACACGGCCCCGCTGGAAGAAGACAGAGACAGAGAGACAGAGAGAGAGACAGAGTCGTCACAAGGACGAGTCGATAAAACAGAAAACGGAAAAATGCATCTGAATTTGTTCAACTTTAACAACTTAGTGAGATTTAGCAAGAACATTTGGTGCTACTTAACTTAATATGTTACTAATTTGACTTAATACCCTCAGTTTTATACAACAGGATTAAAACAAAGACATGCTGTGACAGTTTGAGGGGAATTAAAAACATTCAGTTTCAAAAGACAATTATATAATATGGTTTAATGCTGTTATTAATTTCTAGTGATGATATCATGCATTCTACTTAAAAAGCAG